GATTAGAACCGCTGAACTGCAGATAACAGTCAGCTGAAGTGGCCTGCAGTACTGCACCACCTCGGCTCTATTCCTAACTATGAATAAGCACAGCTTCACATTGTACTGTAGATCACAGAGACCTACATTTCCCCCCTCTTTCATGGTATTGTGAATTAGGTCTACATACCAGAAGTATATCTATAATAGTATCTAAATTATGCAAATATTATTACACTGTTATCTGTATGTCTATCACTATAACTCGAACAAATTGTAGTGCTTTTAAAGGGCGGGTGTCAAACTTGCTGCGTCATGTTGCCATCATGTGATGCTTCGTAACATTTTTCCCACTCGCAAAACGGGTGGGTGTGGCCTGTACATGACGTATCTGGCCGGCGGGCTGCCAGTTTGTCACCCCTTTCTTAAAGTATTTGCACACATACGTAAAAGCTGGAAGGTGGATACAAGATCTGCAGTCCCACCTTGTATTTCCTCTGACTTTCACATGTTCAAGCAGAAGAGGGATGAATGTTGTTATAATAACATCCCCGAACATGCAGAGAGTTCTGTATTTGCATCAAAGCATGATAAATACAACATCAGTTCTTCAAGCTAAATATATGGATGTTAGAAACGGTAAAGGGTAAGACAAGTTTTTAGATGAGTACCTGAGCAGGCATGAGCAAGGAAAGATTTGGGGACAGTGATCTTCCTAACCATTTAGTATCAAGGTTGCCCGCAGGTGCATGCAATAATTCTTTCAGGAATTCCGTGCACACACAGGAATTCTAGGACTTGACCTTATTATCCAAATTTCCATATATTTTTTTGTAGCAAAAAACTAAATGAAACTGAAACAGCTTCTATCACACTAAGTAGTCCAATAATACAGATGGACATATCACCGAATTTCATTTCAGCAGTTAGAGGCCTCTTTCTCAGGCTTCTTCTTACATCCGCCACACACAGCTTTCACTTTTCCTGCCTTCCTATCTTGAATCATAACACCTCCATAAATAAAAAGGACAAGAGTTTCATTCAACTTCCTAGCTAAAAGCTTCTATTCATACTTGGTCTTGATCCACATCTTCATCCCCCGTTATGATGATTCGCTTTTCTATTCTAGTTTCAGAAAATCCTCCTTTCACAGTCTGGAATAAAAAAGAAAATACTCAGTATGATATTGTAAATCCCATGTCTAAAACTGTTTTGAATGATAGCTTCTGCTTTACTGGGGCACAAGAACTCTGACTAATTTGACACAGGATGCCAAGCTAAGCTTTGCTTAGTCATGATTTGTTGAAAATCAACAATTGGCTATACTGTGGCATACAAACTACAATGCCTAATAAAATAGATTATGATTTAGACTGAAATTTATGACCTTCCTTTTTTACAAATACTCTCTTGGGAGTAAAAAAATAAGCTACATTTAATTATCGGAGAATCTTTGGTAGCTTGTGACCCACTGGGTCATCCATTCAGAGACTTTTCCTTACTTAAATAGAGAAACAGAATGACTAAGGGTAAAAAAAAAAAGAAGCAGGAACAGGAACAACTTTTACATTCCTGCCGACTTGATCACAGCTGATTGTCCTCAGGTAGGGAAGTAGGGAGTGGTCTACCCAGCCTCTGAAGGTCTAGGGTGGGAGTTGTCTGCCCGATCTCCAGTAGCCAATGGAGCGGCCAGCCTACCCAGTCTCAAAGGACTATGGTTGGGCCAGTCTACTGAATCACTGGCTAGAGGCCCAGCAGCATGAAAGCACTGAAGCTATCATCAACGTGCCAAATTTCAATGCCAAGGGAATTGTGGATATTGGATTTTGAAGTACATTAGCCCATTTGGAGTACAATAAACTGTTGCCCTAGGATGCCCTATTTTGCCCAGTTAAAGGTTAAAGACACATGCATGTTAATAGTATATAGGTAGATATGATATTTAGAGAGGTACAATGTGCCTCTTATCTAGAATAAATCTTTTCCAAGTTCATTTATGGGAAGTGAGATGTAAGTCTGGGCACTGGAATAAGCTGATATTCTGTGCTCCTGCACTGATCTTACCTTGGTAACATGGGTAGTTGTGGAGGTGGAGAGGGTTTCTGCAGTGGCACCAAAAAGACTGGTGAAGGCTTCTTTGCCAACAGCACCACTGGCAATCTATAACATATGCAAAACATGATCCACATCAACAGATTTACAGTTACTCCAAAACAAAAGTCATAGGCATGGGTTAAGTTATGAACCCTGATATACTCAGCTTTCTCTAAAACAGTTGTTAAGAGAAAGTTTATATTGCTCCAAAGAAGATCATAATCAATTTTTTGAGGACAAATAAATTGGACCTCTTATAGACTGTTTACTTTAAATCAACTTAGTTCTTAGAAATTTGTTTTTAAAAGTTTTGCAAAATAAAAAAAAATCATCTTAACAATGTATTCAGCTTCAACATTTCTTATTTGAGCCAGGTACAATTGCAGTTTCTGAAGTCCTATAGCAGTTAGAAGTTTTGAAGCAATTATCTACTTCTTTTAAGGCAGTAATTGTCCTTTATAAGGAATTGAAAGAAGATACGTTGATATTACTTATTTACATGAGCTTTGAAATACAGCTTGAATATCCTGCTCTTGTAAAGCATTGGGGGGGGGATATGCATTAAACTAAGTCAATTTATCCAGTTGTTTCATGTAAATGTTAAATAGGAGGGGACAAAGAGATGAGGTGTGAGGTACTCCATATAGAAGGGTCCTTGAGTTAAACGTCTTCCCCACTACCAATACTGACTAGAACAATTATAGAAAGGGAGTAACTATTGCAAAACAGTGCCTCCCCACTTCCTAAACCTGTCCAGAAGGGTACAAAAACTGTTGGCATCAAAAACCTCTGACACATACAGGACAGACACACCACCCTCATCCCAGTCACTCCAAAAATCATGCACAAATGTGACTAATGCCACCTCAGTTCCATAACCCAGCCTGAATCTTGACTGAAAAGTATCAGGATAAGAGTCCCAGGAAAAGGTCCAGAATCATAATCTTAATGGTATCTGAATAATAATGTTATTTCCTATGTTCCAGGCTGAACTGTGAATGTTCATATTACTGAATGTTCATACTAGGTCCAGTGAAGTATTATCTATCAGACCTACTATTTCTGTTTCAGGTTCTTTCGTGTCTTGTAATTTTATTACTGATTTAGGAAACAAGGATGGGACATTTCCTCAGAAAATATGAACAATGACTTACTGGAGAAATGGAGCGAAGATCTGAAGTGCCTTTTGTAGGTTTGGTACTGTGATCCTGGGGAAAAAAATATTTACACTGCAACTTATGTTTATAGGTCAAAATCAGACAAGGGAGGATAGAGGTTCAAAGACATGAGGAAAAATCCTAAATTTCATCCACTAATTTGTTCAGGGAAATAAAAACACTTATTCTAAAGTATAATCTACTGAAAGCCAACAGGTAAGCAAAATTATCAGTTGGTGGAATTTAGGGTTTCTATTGGGTGAAATTCAGAAGGTTCAGAACCGGTAGCGGAATTTTTGAGTAGTTCAGAGAATTGGCAAATACCACCTCTGGCTGGCCCCAGAATGCGGTGGGAATGGAGATTTTGCAGTATCCTTCCCCTGCCACGTCCAACAAGTCATGCCCACAGAACCGGTAGTAAAAAAAAATGAATTTCACCACTGTTTTCTATGCATAACATTTTAATGTTATTCAAAAGATTTAAGGAGTTCCAATATGTTTTGCATCTCTTATGTGATTATTGTCAAACTAGGAATAATCCAATGCTCATTTTAATGAAAATATATCTCATATATTTTATGTCACATTTTAGCAAAGGAATTTGGACTCACTTAAATCTATTAAGGGGCTATTTCAGAGATGGCCAGAACTGACATGCCCCTAGGGTCATCTCTTATGAATATAAGGACCCCAGTCAAGATAAACTGAAAGAGGAAGGAATTGGAAAAAGAGCACAATCTTTCATTTTGCCTCCCCTTTGTTATTCAAAATCAGCCAAGAATGGTGGTGGCTACAAGTGGCCAGGAAAGTTGGAAAGGGACTAAGTGCAAAAAGTCTCAAAATGGAACTGAGATGCAGTTGAAGTTACTGTGGATAGCAAGGATAGAAGAGAATCCCACATTCACCCTGTGTCACAAAGGGGCTAAATTGAGAATGCTGCAATGCTGACAAATGGCCAGAAACAAATAAGTTCCATATGAATAACTTACTGAGGTTGTAGATATAGTTTCTGGGCTTTCAGTGTGGGAAGTGGTTACTGCCTCTTTTCCATCTGTAGTGGTACCATCAACCTGAAAAATGAAACAATAACAGTCAATAGAAGTAGATCTATTAAATGCACATTCCATTTAATTCTAAATAAATTAACTAAAATATATTCATATAAGATAGTAAGTTACTTCAATCTAGTCTCCTATTCATATACGTATTATCTTAAAACTTGATTATAGATTGAGCATTTTATGTCTTTAAGTATTTAAAAACAATAACTGGTGTATTTAAGATATATTTATTAAAAAAACAAATGGTGAATATATTACTAGTATATGTAAATTATTTTTCCATTAGCAATTTTAGTGGGCTGCTTTGCTTATGGACTTATAAAACACATTTGTGCTTACAACAGAAATTTGAGTGTGCAATAAAGTAACAGTTGTAAGTTACCTGTGTAATTTCTGTTGTACCAATTCTGTGTTGCACAGAGCTGTCTGCTTCCACTTTCTTTACAATTTCTGATTTCTGATTGAAGGACTATCAAAGAGATTAAAAAAAGGATGACAATCCAACTATTGTTAATTAATGACAGAAATGGCTGTTTTGTGAACAGTCTTTTTCCTGTCCAAAAATATGCATTTTTAATTCTCATTTTGTCAGATGTCATGGTTAATCAAATAATTCTTGCTGATTTAAGCTCAAGAATTTTATTCCAGAGAACATATTTGATAATAAAGGATTGACTGAAAGTGTATAAACTAGATCATATGTTATTTCTATGAAGATTATAATCTGGAAAACTGGAATTAAAATTAAAACTGGCAAGAAAGCAAAGAACTCCAACAATTTGTTGTTGAGTGAATAGTTTTAGAGTCCTGTTTTTGAATATAATCTACCCATTTCAAATGCAATTTCACTAACTATAGTAACAAAGATTAAGCCAGTCTTGCTCTAATAAATCCATGACATTTGCCTAATATTAGAATTTTTCATTATTTCCCCCGTATGTTTTCTTCCATCTCTGACCTTTGTGTTAATCAATTTGGAAAGACAATTATTTTAACAGTACAGTATCTGCTTTTTGATTTTTACAATAATACAATAGCAGAGTTGGAAGGGACCTTGGAGGTCTTCTAGTCCAACCCCCTGCCTAGGCAGGAAACCCTATACTGTTTCAGATAGATGGCTATCCAACATCTTCTTAAAGACTTCCAGTGTTGGGGCATTCACAACTTCTGGAGGCAAGCTGTTCCACTGATTAATTGTTCTAACTGTCAGGAAATGTCTCCTCAGTTCTAAGTTGCTTCTCTCCTTGATTAGTTTCCACCCATTGCTTCTTGTCTTACACTCAGGTGCTTTGGAGAATAGCCTGACTCCCTCTTCTTTGTGGCAACTCCTGAGATATTGGAACACTGCTATCATGTCTCCCCTAGTCCTTCTATTAAACTAGACATACCCAGTTCCTGAAACCGTTCTTCATATGTTTTAGTCTCCAGTCCTCTAATCATCTTTGTTGCTCTTCTCTGCACTCTTTCTAGAGTCTCCACATCTTTTCTACATCGTGGCGACCAAAACTGAATGCAGTATTCCAAGTGTGGCTTTACCAAGGCATTATAAAGTGGTATTAACACTTCACATGATCTTGATTCTATCCCTCTGTTTATGCAGCCTAGAACTGTGTTGGCTTTTTTGGCAGCTGCTGCACACTGCTGGCTCATATTTAAATGGTTGTCCACTAGGACTCCAAGATCCCTTTCACAGTTACTACTGTTAAGAGAATGAGAATAGCCAATTGTCATTTGATTCAGTTATGATGTTCATTTTTAGTTATTTTATACATAAATACCAAGCATATTTAATACACATATTATTTGTTGAATTCATGCAACAAAGAGAATACACAAATACAATACATCCAATACAATGGAGCAGCCAGGCAAATGCAGTTGGTTAAAGTGTGATGTAACTTCATGATTAAAGGAATCACAAATGCCCTCAGAGGACAAACATGCATTTGAATGTCAGAAACAATCATGCAGACAAGACAGTCACATTTATGAAGGTAAAATGTTTTAAAAGGCTAATAAGAAATGGATATGTTCTTCCAAATATGAGACGGACACCTGATCAAGCGGTGCAAATGCCAAGACAGACACTACTGAAATGAAGACATTTAGACACATCTGTGCATTGTGTCTTCTTTTGTACCTCTTCTGGGGTTACATGATAAACCTTATCTTCATCCATTGCATCACCATCTTCCTTGGGAGCTGATCTGTCAGTTTCCTCAGTAGAAATCTGACCCTCTGCTTCTCCCTCACTCTTTTCCTTATCAAGCTCAGGGAGACTCCGTGAGAAATCTTCAAAGGCTGCACTTTGGTAGTCACCAATGATGGTGAAGTCCACCTCAGCCTCGAGGCTGGAAGTTGAGCTGACAGTAATGCTGGAGCACTTGCGCTCGATGGCCAAATGGTTGTCCTTCAGGAAGACCGAGTCTCTCTCCTGGTCCTGATCTTCGTCCCCGGTATCACTTTCAGGAGCCCTGTGCCGAGGCATCTTAGATTTCTCCTCTGTGCCCTCCCTCAATCCCGCTCTCTGAATGAGACAAAAGGGAGGAAAGAAGCTAAGGCTCCAAGCACTGAATGGCAGATGGTAGCCATCAGAAGCAATGAAACAGAAAGAAAGAGTGAAGAGAAGCATCAAACAAAGGGTGTCAAACACATCCCAAAAATGATCACCAAAACTCGTCTCACAGCAAATTCTCTACAGGGAGGAGACAAGGTAAAAATATTGTTTCGTTCTACTTACAAAATCGCCAGGAGGAAATAAAATTGTGATTTTTGAAAATATCAATCCAGATAAATGATTGGATATTTTATAGGTAGAGGAGGTTTGTGCAAAAGAGCAAACGTTGTAAGATATTTAAAAAGAAATTCAGACAATTGCTGATTGTTAGGATAGAAAACATTATAAAGGAGGGGAAAAGAAGAAAAGAAGAAATAGGGGAAAAAAGTTTAAAACGAAAAAGGTGAAAGCTAAGATTGAATCTTTGCACATATTGCAGGAAAAAGCATTTGTCAATTTCACTGAGATCTAGTCAATATGTTTTTTTCTGGACCTTTATTATGTATACCTCACTTCAGTTTTTACAAGGGCTTATCTGTCCTGAGGCAGCGTAACATTTGGATGAAAAGAGCTTGTGTTGTGAGTGCTCTCATCTTGTGGCTGAGAAGCCATCAGAGCAAGCATGTTTTAATGTTCTCCAAGCAGGATTTTAATCAGTGTAATTGACAAGAAAAATCAGAACAAAAGAGATGTATCTTAAGCTCTTCTTTGAGGGCTACACATATACCTCTCAACTGCATTACAGTGATTACTCAGTCGGGCCCAATGGTTGTTTTTCAGAAAAATATTAAAATATCATAGAATTATTCATTCACAGAAAAATCTCTGTTAGATTTTTCTGAGCCAAAAATAATTTAATTCAATGAATAGGAGCCCCACTGAAATAAATATTGCCTTTTGTCCAGATTCTGGCATGTTCAGAGGTATGAGAAAAGATATTTGAAACACAGATAGGAATATATTTATATATATTTATATATACAAGCATCAAATATATCTACATAAATAAATATATATAATTATACAAATATATATATAGCAGCTCAGTAAGCAAGGAGAAGGGGTGGTGGTGCATGGCTCGCCAACACTTAGGTTGAGCTTTTACACCACAAACACAAGCAGTTAGTAAAACAGGACTGAGACCTGAAGGGCCACTGGAGGAGCAGCCTTTAAACTCTCTTCTTTCGGAAAGGCTTTTACTGATAGGCCTGACAAATCCTTTTCTTCCCAAGTTTGTTCTTGAAATTTGCTCTAGATTAGAGAAAAGGGATTAGTTTTATGGAGCAGAAAGGAGTTTAACTACTAACTTTACTGGAGCAATGTGAAGCTCTTTGGTCTGTCAGCCAGCCACTAGCTTGTCAAGAACAGAAAGAGAAGGAGAGCTCACAAGCCAAGCCAGAAAAGGGATCAACATTAAAAAGATGCAAAAAAGGAGGAAGCTGGAAGCATGAGAATGTGGCTGCTAGGCGTGTGCATGGGGGTATGGTTAAGGTATAAAGCTCTAGGCATGTCATCCCCTCCCACCCTACCATTGAGCAATTCCATTCATAGTACTCTTGACTAGTTTCAACTTAGCAGCTGGCATTCTCTAGGTAGCCAAATCTTTAGAAGTTTTCTCCCTTTCTCTCCCTCTCTCTCACACAGAAACACTTCAAAAGCTGATGAGCTGCTTGGGCCAGGAGGTTTGCATTCAGTAACTGAGCCAGGTCACACACACATACAGAAAGGACAAGGGATGCAAGCAGCAGTTTTCAATCAATGGCCATGTTTAAAGCCATGGCACATGATGCATAAAGACGTGTCACACAACATGCTTTATGAACTTTCCAATGGGACAGTTCATGTGGGAGTTACCACAGCTTCTGCCAAAGTGATTTCACAGCCAGAATCAGGAGAAGCCAGTTCAGCTTCTCTTTCTCCTCCTTGCTCAGATCCAAGAGAAATATCTTCCTTCCAAGATGACAGCTGAGATGGTTCTCCCTCACTTGTGCCTTGATTTTCAGCGAGGTAGACCATGTCTGATGTCCCTCCAGGGTCTTTTGTTTTGCCATCTGAAGGTTGCAAAGCCACTATTAATTTTGCACAGCTGTTTTCCAAAAATGTATCTTTGTGTAGTTCTATGCTTGATGAATCTTTTGGTATCTCACTGCCTGGAAAACTATCGTGGAATCCTGTTAAGGCAACATCTGGTTCATCAGAAAGTGAGCTGTACATTTCACCTTGTTCAAACATCCTAATTCTAGAAGCTACGGAGTTTTCTTTATTTGTTGCACTCTTACGCTCAATGAAATCCTTTGAGCTCTCTGTGGATGAATCTGCATCCTTATGCTTTTGAGATGAAGCTGTGCTATACCCTATGAGCTTGAGTTGTTCTAGATTGGGTTTTTGTTTATTATGTGTAGTTTGCACAGATTTCAGGTCCTGCTTTATAGCATGAAGAGGTTGTGAACATTCTTTGTTCCATTCAGGTGACCCAGTCTTAACAGACTGTGTAGTGTCAAGTTCCTTTTTTACAAATAAATGACCTTCCAATTCTGAAGGTTTAGAAACAACTACAGAGGCAGGCTTTAATAATATTGTATCCCTAGATGGCTGCTTCAAGCCAGAGGTTGTACCCTGAACTACTTCATCTAGATTTAAAGTTAAAACGATATCCTCTGACTTTGCAGTATTATCTTTGGTCAGCTCATTCATTTCACAGAGCTTATCTTTATCTAAGTCCTCCCATTCTGGAATATTATTCTTAGCCACGTCTTCTAATTTTGGGAGTTCTGCTGATTCTTGGAATTTATATTTAGCTATCCCATTTAATTTATGAGACTCATTTCGGTCATACTCTTCAGTCTCGGAGGATTCATATTTAGCTGTTTCTCTACATTCTGACATATTATGTGAATCTGATGGTTTATTTTTAGTTGAATCTTCTGACAGGGTAGACTTATCTTTTGTCATCGGAGCCTGTTCACTAGAATTAACAAAGGCTCCACCTTCCATATCTTGTTTGTTTATGGCTGGACTTTTCAATTCAATACTTTCATCTTTGGCTAATAGCTCTGAGTCAGGAAGTTCATCTTTGGTGGAATCTTCAGATCTGATGTATTTACTTTGGACTAGTTCCTGACCTTCTGATAATTTGTTCTGAAGAGGCCAGTTTGAATCTTGAGTCTGTTCTTGGGCTAATTTTTCTGTTTTTGCTTCTTGCGATATATGTGAACCTCTAGTTGAACTTTCTGAAGAACAGGAAAGCTGATTGTGTGAGGCAATCATGGTGGAGTCCATAAATTCTATGGCTTCCATCTGAAGAAGTATTTGAGTAGCTTCCATTTCTTCTAACTTATTTCTTTTGCTTTGATTTTCTGAAGTTTTTAATATTATGCTCTGTGTTCCTATGGCAGTATCAGCCTCCTTCTTATCATATTCTTTTTTCCCTTCTGGAGGACTGCTGTTATATGTTTCATCCACTCCTATTTTATGTTCGTAAGAAGGATAAGCTGTTGCCTCTTTGGTGGAGAATCCAGATTGTAACTGAGGCACTGATAATGGGATTATGGAATCCTTTCCATAGGCTTCATCTGTCGAAGAAAATGCACTGCATTTCTGATCATCTTTGATTCCATAATCATCTGACTCTATAGGCACACCTTCCCCTGAAATGGATGAATGAACTTTTTTTTCATTTGAAGACTGCTTAATAGAGTGTACGTTGTTGTCATCTGCAGTCTCGGACTGCTCTGACTGAAGAATTGTTTCGCTGATGTCTGACATTCCTTCACAATATGTGGATAAGGGGAATGGAAGCACATTTTCTCCCTCTCTCTTTCCTATAACTGGGGCAAGACTAATGCTCTTCTGTTTTTCTATTTCACTTTCTTGCCTCGTTTCAAAGGCACAATTCTTTTTTTGGTCAAGTATTTCCTTGGTCTCATCATTTGTTTCATCTGTTTCTTCAGAATCCAAATAGATGATCCGTTCGGCAGCAGAAGATCCTGTCTTATCGCTTAGTTTCACCTTAGTTTTAACTGAGTCAGAATCTGAGGTATCCTGAAGAACTTCCTTTTCTGATAATTTCAAGGAAGTCCTATGTTCGCTTATTAGAATTCTGTTTTCTTTTTTGGGAGATTCTGGATGAACAGAGGCACATGTTGGTCCGTCTTCAGATTGGTGCAGGCCAGTAGGTTGCATATTTTCAGTGGAGGCTAGCACCACATTCTTTATTTTGTCTTTCTTTTCTTCTTTTTTCTCAGGTTCAGAAGAAACAAACAGTGCTGCCTCCGTTTTATTGCTTTTTTCTTCTCTTTCCCCAGGAAGCTTTTCTGTCTTAGAAGATTTTTTTCTGTAATCTTTCTCATTCTTATCATCGTCGAAAAATGCTTCAAAATCTTCTGGACTGGCTATCATTTTGGCTTTTCTGTGGACCTTTATTTTGCTTCCCTCATTTGCTTTCACCTCTTGCTTTGTTGCTGCCTTGTCTACCCCTACTGCGGTGGGCTCTTTTGAGAAGTCCAAATCTGTTTGCTTTCCTGAGGCACCTGCGCTTGATTCTTCCTTCTGGGTCTTAATAATTTGTTTTAGTGCTAGCTCTTCCAGCCCAGAAGTTCCTCTTTCTATAAAAACCCAATGCTCTGAATCCTGCATTGTAATTGGAGCAAGAAAAATTAGCATTAAACATAAGTTACTCAAATAGATGATAATTAAATAGATAACAAAGATCCTGATGCAGCATTCATGCATTATTGCACAGGAAACAAGTACCTAAATCTTTCCTTTATCAACTGGATGGTATAACATCTCAAACCTGAGATCAATTGAGAATTAAATTTTAACAAGTACGTTTTCTCCTTTTCTAGTTACAAACATCTAAAAATGTGCCTAACTTCATTGTAACAGTATAAATTTATTACTGTATTTTAAAACAAACATTTTTGACCAATTGTGCTCTGGTATTTTGAATTAAATGATTTCAGAGAACTCTGATAAGTTTTCTAGATTCATATTTTTAATGAGAAATGAAAAAGAGTCAGGTTTTGGAAATGAACAACAGTACTTTTATAGCTGCTTTGCATTCTGTTGAAGCTGTATATGGTTTCAAATTATTTGATTGTCTAAGAAATACATAGGAGTTTTTGAAAGGAGGTTTTTAATTACAGGTAGGTTTACAGCAGAATTTTCTGATGGCAAATAAATGCATTTATGCATCTACTTCTTAATTATATGATATACCAAAATGCTGTAAATCAATTATAGTTTAATTATTTGAATGTCAAAGTTCAAATATAATAGAGACTCATCAATGCATTTAGCATCAATTTAACTATAACAGTTTCTTTTTTACACTGTTACATTAATATGAACACCAAGGCATTTTATATGCATATCCTAATCTTATTTGGGGTGTTGACACTAATTTGGCTCATAAATAACAGAAAATAAATAAAATAAATAAAAACAAACTAACTGAAATAGGATATATAGGTTAATTATATTTAAATTAAGCCCCACTTAAATTATATACTGAGTAAACAGGTCAACTTAAACTGTAACAGTCATTGGGTGTGTTTTTGGATTTCTCCAGAGGCTTCCTTGTACATCATTTTCAAAACAACTGTGCAAACCTACAGGAAATTATCAGATCAAAGAGAATCCCTTTAATCCACTGAATCAAAAAAAAATTTTTTTAATGAAAGCATTTTGAAAAATTGCACTAAAATAACAAACAAAATGGAAGAAGATATTTTGCAAAACTATATTATATTATACATATGTATGTATGTATATGTATATCACAGTTGTATATTACAATTAGAGCTTAACATGATATTCCACTTCACTGAGAAAATCTGAATAAAGTCATCAATTTATAAGAAGCAAATTTTTATCCAAACCAATTCAGTTGAAGGAGTGGGGACCAGTCTGGTTTAGAATTAGGAAGACAACATTAAGAAAGTAAGTAAAAACTGCAACACCAATCTTTTTTTGCCTAAGAAAATAAAGTGTTCAACAGAGCAATAAGAAGCCTGGAATATATTACATGAAACAGCAGTACCAAACTGCTTGAATCAGTGTTTCTCAACCTCTGCAACTTTAAGGTGTGGAGACTTCAATTCTCAGAATTCCCCAGCCAGCATGGGAGTTGAAATTTACATAACTTAAAGGTATAGAGTTAGGAAACTTTGTTTTAAATAATAATGATGGTTTGCAATTATTGGATGCTTTGTGTTATTTAGACCCATCATCACCATAGCACACTCAGCTAAAATTAAGTCATCTCTATGTAACAAACATATGTAAAGAGCAAATACTGAGAATAGTGGTAGAAAAATGAAGAATAACAGAGAATTAGATTGTTACTCTTATGTACTTTGCTTTAAAATGATAACACTAGCCTGTATTCTTTACTAAATAAAAATATTTTTATCTTCTTAAAAGTGTTATTGATGGTTAATACATAAGATGAAAACTGCAATAATAGAATCTTGAGGGCAGGATCACAAAGACCTACAATTTGCAAATCTTCCAATTGTGACTCTAATATCATGTGCCATGCTGTGATATATAACCAACAACCTAACAGGTACATTATACCACAATTCACTACTGTAAGGGAAGCTTGGCACTCTCATTATTTCATCTGTTAGATGCTACTTCTAATATTTCTATTAGTATCCATCTAATACTACTAATAATAATTCTAATCCTAAAACTTCTGATTCTAGTTTCTTTTGCTTCTCTAAAACAACCACAAATAATTATACAGAGTATGGAACGATTCCATAATCCTAAGTAGCCACCTATATTTGTCTAAAAGGATATTGTTAATTTTTTGGGCAAAGCAACTTCCTTCCGGCTTCCCACAATCAAACTTAATGGAGAAACTGGCAGGAAGTTGCAAGCCCCAAGTTTGGCAGGCAGATAAGTGGCTGCTGCCCAGTGGAGGAGGATGTGAGGGAGTGAGCGGAAAGATCAGGGAAGGTGTGTGGGAGTGTGGGAGAATCAGGGTGCAAGTCAGGAAGGGTGTGCAAGGCTGGATGAGACGTGCGGCACAAAACAGAGAGAATGCACAAGAATGTGCAAGTGACTAATATGGTGCAGAAGACTTACCTCAGTGACTTGCAACCTTCCCTGCCGGCTTCCCCATTGACTTTCTGGGGAAGCCATGAGGAAAGAATTCAAATAGCAATTATATGAGTCCCAGTTTCTGTTGTTAACCAAATTCCACAGTCATTAGGAAAGACAACTTCCTGCTAGTTTCCCACAACCAAAGTCACTTGGGGAAGCCAGCAGGCAAGTGGCGGCTGCTGGGTGAAGGAGTGTGCAAGGGCAAGTGTAAGAGGCATAGTGTAAGTTGAGGAGGAAGCACGAGAGTTCAAGGGGGTGCATGAGAAGTACAACATGGGTCAGGAAGAGCGCATGGGGTTTCCGAGTGGCCGGCATGGTGAGGTAGGGGAGACTTACCCCAGTGACTTCTGACCCTCCCTTTCAGCTTTCCCATTGGCTTTCTGGTGAAGCCGACAAGGAAGGTTGCAAATAGCGATCACATGATCCTGGGGTACTGCAACTAGTTGTAAGTGCTAACTGGTTGCCAAGTTCCCAGAGCATGATCATGTGACCACAGGGATACTGAGATAGCTGGAATTCCAAAGACTGGTCTTAACCACCATTCGTTCAACATCATCATAACTTTGAATGTCGCTGAACGAATGGGCCTAGGTTGAGGATCTCCTGCAATTAAAAACAAAGTGAATTTAGAGTAAACACAGTACTTCCTGGACTAGTTACATGGATATGCCCAAACTATCAAGTTCATATGAGAATCTGATAAATTATATTACTTTATTTTTACATTTTTAAACATGCAAAAGAAGCTACAAGTATTATAGAATGATGTACCAAGCTATAAAAATATATAAAATATACCCTAATATTAAAATTCAATTTTGCTTTGCATTAAAGCATTTTATATTAAGCACAAATTAATCTACAGGTAATCCTCCACTTACGACCACAAAGGAGCCCAAAATTTCTATTGCTAAGCAAGACAGTTGTTAAGTGAGTTTTGCCCCCATTTTTCAAACTTTCTTTCCAGAGTTGTAAAAAGAATCACTGCATATGTTAATTTAGTAACACGGTTGGTGAGTGAATCTGGCTTCCCCATTGATTTTGCTTGTCAGAAGGTCACAAAAGTGGATCAAATGACCCTGGAACACTGCAACTATCATAAATATGAATCAGTTGCTAGGTGTCCAAATTTTGATCAAGTGACCATGGGGATGTTGGAATGGTTGTAAGTTTGTGAATTGGTCATAAGTCACTTTTTTCAGTGCTGTTATAACTTGAAACAGTCACTAAATGAGTGGTTGTAACTCAAGGATTACCTGTATTTCTATTCAGGATATGTTTTTAGAAATAATACTATGCAATTAATCTGTGTAAACCATCCCAAACTTGCATATTTATATACAGGTTTTTATATCATTAAATGTTCAGATCTATAGTGAGCTACAAATACATAACAAAGACCTGCATTGCAACATCTAAATGCTGCAAAATTATTTAAAAACTAAATTATTATCCAAACATTAATTTTATATGTGTGGTCAAAGAAATTCATACAAGAATTAATATACATTCCTATCTCAATTGATAGAAATATAACAGTTATTTTCTTCCATATTCCATAACTTTGAGAAAAAACCACAGATAAGATGTATGTTACTTATATTTATTCAATTATATATGCTTATATAATTAAACTGTGTATCTTAACTTTGTAATTGAAACTGACAGTTGTCTTGGGTGCAAATAGTTGGTCAGTCCTAGTAAATTAAATAACAGCATATATAGTGGCAGTTTTAAATGACAATTTGAATTATTGTTGTCTTAATGTACATGCTTAGCTACAGCTATGTTTTATGAACCACAATCACCAAGTTCAGAAAATATACTAAGCTAAAACAAAGCATATTCTGACATAGTATGTATGAACCAAATCAATATCAATGTTCTGTGAAATTTGGTAGGTACTAATTTTTTGAAGGACAGATTTAATAACCATGACCAGTTTCTTTTGATTTTGGCTTAGTATGATTGAGAATCATGTAACTGTAATTTGGGAAAGAGGTTTAAAAATTTTGATTTAGCAATGTGTGTGCACAAAACAGATTAAAGCAGTTTAGCTGCTAAGTAGTCCATAGTGTAGTTGTTGATTCCACTTCTCTATAATACAACTTTTGACCAGAGTGATATTATTAAAGCTCTATGTGTTTCTTTCAGACGTGGGGGAGGGGACATCTCCATCTATGCCATAAACCACAATCAGAACTCACAAAAGTTGTCAATTGCATACTTTCAATTCTTAGATAGGCTGCAATGCTTATGATAGATGGGAAATCTACCGTAGCTTTCATTATGCCGTCTTTGGAAATAAACACTGGACCAGAACACAACATCCTATTTCAAAATCTGTGCCATAATATCACTGCCATGCCACAATTGACACAAGCCACTATATTTGACAGCAGGTGAAATGACAGAGTCTTCTAGCTACTCTATATTGCTGTACTTCTGTTTAAGTCTATGCACCAAAATTTTAACCACATCTCTTATTTTTTATAACCTACTTGGATTATAAAAATGAATGAGACAATATCTATCTGGAAATGTAAGATTTAGCTTTTTTTTTTGTTGTTAATAGGACAATTCAGAAAACAGAACAGCCTTGCTGTATTGCGGTAAGGCTGTTCACTGCCTCTGCCACCAGATGTCTCAGATTGTATTTGTCTGACTACAATACCACTATACATATAACACCTCTGTGGTTAAGTATATGAACAACAAACTGACCAAAATGGATGTCTCCTTGAATGAAGAAAGGTCACAATATTTGTATGCTTGAACTATTCAAGTGTTTCTAAAGCATTTGTTATATTAATACTTTTGCATTTGGTAGCATTGGCCAAATTTGGAATAATGTTTTATTGTATTTCAGTTCTCTGCAGAAGAATTTTCTTTGTTGTACAGGCTTATACATATCCACAAAGAGCTGCTGTATTCCTTGAAAGATGCTGAGTATCTTTTTAAATGAAATGCACATACCATAGCTTTTAATTGTGTCCAGAGATACTGTATATCTAAGTCAGATCATCAGTCTGGCAAAAGTTCCTCAGAATTCAGACAATATTTAATAAACCTACACTCACAACTTTTTTTCAAAGCAAACTGGTCTACCCTTGCTAAATTAGGTCTTAGTCCTATATTCCAGGGGTCTCTAACCTTAGCAACTTTAAGACTTGTGTTCAACTCTCAATTCTGGGAGTTGAACTCCACAAGTTTTAAAGTTGCCAAGGTTGGAGACCCCTGCTATATTCTATTACAATGGCCAATCAAATGCCTCTACCCAACCTGCAGGAAGGAAATGGAGGCATAAATCTCTCCTTTTGTTTCCCTTCAACTGTTATTTGGATGCATGCTGCTATCCACAATTGAAAAACTTGAAAAGCAAAAAAAGAGGTAAAGGTAATTTGCAGAGCTCACTATGGATTCTTGTACCTCCATTAACTAGGAAATGAATACAGTATCACCTTATCTTTCACTGAAGCACATTTTGGTACAGTTTTCAAATACTGGTGGACTTTCCCGAAACACTGACATCAAAATCATTTGGAGATTTAAAGGCTGAATATAATATTTTGAAATAATTCACCACTTTTCCAGCATTCCTAGTAGTTTAGATATAGTCAGATGTTATTGTTTCAAATAAATTCTAAATGAACCCCTGATTAAATGAACTTGGTTCATCAGGTTGATTGATCAACTGCCATGAATACAAGCCTTAAACAACAGTAAAAACTGCATCCTACTGATTTCAAAAGATCTGAGGCCTTCTAAGAGCTCAACCCTTACTAAGTATGAGTAGCATTATAGCCTACATCAGAGGTGTCAAACATGTGGCCCATGGGCTGGATGTGTCACCCACTGTCCACGCCCACGCCAAGTTTAGCGAAGGGAGGAAAAGTCGTGAAACGTCACGTGGCGATGCCATGATGAGTTTGACACCCCTGGCCTACATCTACTTCTAGGAACGGAAACAAAAAGAAAAGCAGATATAGAAAAGAGAGAGAAATTGAAAGAGTGGTGATAACCTCAGGAGAAGAAACAAGGCTTTTCTGTATAAAAGATTCCATGATTAAGGCAGCTCCATGTTCAGATGACAGATCCTCTGGAGAATCCTCTTCTGACATCTATTTCAGCAGGGGAAACCCAAGACCCCCCGGGCAAAGAGATAGAAACAGAGAAAAGAGACAAGGGAGACACAGAAAAAGAAGCAGTAAATAAAGTATGGAGAATCACTCTATTTCCTGTGCATTTACTCTGAGCTAATCCTTTATCTAACTTTTTAGGAAAGGATTCTTTCTTTCAACTTCCATCTCCCCTCTGATAGCAATACAGGCTAGTCCGTGACTTACAACCCATTTTTAGTGACTATTCAAAGTTACAACGACACTGAAAAATATGACTTACAAACCAATCCTCGCACAGTCCCATAGTCATGTGATCAAAATTTGGTTGCTTGGCATCCAGTATGCAATTACAATGGTGCAGCATCCTGGGGACATGTGGTAGTCATTTATGATCTTTCTAGCCAGCTTCTGGCAAGCAAAGTCAATCAGAAAAGCCAGACTTGCTTAAAGATCACATGATTGACTTAACAACTGCAGTAATTTGCTTAATAACCATAGTAAACAGATCGTAAAATTGGGTGTGACTCCCTTAACAACCACCTTGCTTAACAACCTAAATTCTAGCCTCAGTTGTGGTTGTAAATTGGGGACTACTGGTATTAATCATGACTCAGCTGCTGAACTCTGCTATTCCATTTTCTCTTTCTATTGGAACACTTCAAGTCTATCAGAGCTATCCAGAGTTTTCACCTTGATTTCAAACCAATATCTTTGCTCTCCTTTTTTATATGTAAGAATGCTTTCCCAATTAAAAGTTGAATTAGGGTCCACGGGACCAGCCATAATAGTTGAATTATATGTCTGCTAAGTTCACTTTCAAAAGCGCCTTGCCTGTTGATGAAAGTGTGTCTGCCTCCCAACCTTTCATTTGGAAAAATGAGTCATGAAATGAAACCTAGAGAAGTAAAAGGACTTGGACCTGCTATATTTCTTTGAGGATAAACAAAAGATCAGGCAAATGCATCAATGAATTGTGCAGCTTCCTTCACTGGTTAGGATTTTGTGCTTCCAACTTTCCTGAGTTCAAGTTTAATCTATGTTTCACCGGAAGAAACCTCAACACCTTGCCCATTACTGTATTAATAGAAATTATAAAATGTTTTATGGATCTACTCATGAAGACCAAGAAATACCCAAGAACAGAGGTCATCTCCTATGGTCAAACAAAGGTCACTGGTTTATAAAATATTAATTGTTCACCAAATTAGAAGATGTTTTCATTTAAAAGCTGAGTGTTTCATAAATATGTGATTTTCTATGATGTTAGACTGCATGTTTAAGTAATGGCTGTAGAGATTATTTCCAGTTATGTTGAAGGAAACGACAGTAGAGTCTTCTTCCAGCTTTCTTACTTTAATCAGAATATCCCATAATACAGTAAGCCTATATTATGGGATATTCTGCACCTGACTGGCTTTGGTTACAATAATGAGAATTCTTGTAAACAGAGAAACACTACCTTCAGTATAATGGTCAAAATGATAGGGTTCATGCCAAAATCTTGAGGGCCAATTACTATGTGTTTATGATGGTATTTTATAGTGTTATAAGCATTGGAGTATTTTTCTAAATCAAGATTAGGATGCAAATGAAACTAAATATATATTCCATAATAAGAAGTTTCTCAGAAATTCTTTACACTCAATTTGAGCCTTGCTGTTAAGAGATATTTTCACACATAGTTATCCAAGATGTGTCGGCAAGTGAGTGCATCTACTATTAAACAAATACTGGGACTCCTTTTTTGCTTCCTTGCTTTCACTTCCTGATGCATTCCAACGATGATATGAACAGAGTGGCAACAGAGATACCGTGTTTCCCCAAAAATACGTCCTAAGTAAGTCCTAGCTTGATTTTTACACATGTGCCTAATATAAGCCCTACCCCCCAAAGTAAGCCCTAATTAGGGCCCCGCCCACTTCAGGATGTACAGGTAAAAATTAAGCTAGGGTGGGGATGGAGGTGGGTGGAGCTGCCCTTACCTTTGGACAGTTGTAGCCAGGCCTTGCACACCTCAACCCATTTCTTCTGCAGCTGGCAAGACTTTCCTGAAGGCCTCTGTAGCCAATAACACAGCTGGGATCAATCCAGAGCTCTATTATTGGCTGCAGAGGCCTTCAGGAAAGCCTTGCTGGCCTTGCCAGATTAAAAAGTTCCTAAAGGCCTCTGATAGCAAAAAAAAAAAAAAAAAAAGAGGCTGGGGAAGACACACGCAAGTGAGGTGAGTCAGTGGATGACATCCCCTTCCCCAAAAATAAGCCTGGTGCCTTATAAGACAGTGTCTTATTTTCAGGGAAACATGGGTACGTTTTAAGAATCTGTTTAGTGGCAAAAGGCTACCTTTAAATAATCGGATCAACTCATAATAACAATGTAAATTACTTTTGCTGGCACCAATTTCTGTATAACAACAAATGAATATAATTTAAAATTTTCCCATGTAAAAGATAATGAAACTTGGCTTTCAAAACAGTTCATCTAAAAAATTAGTCTTAACAGGATTCAGTCTTTTTACTCACTGCTTTATGGATGCTCAACTAGCTTGGAGAAAGCTGAATACAACAGCTTTCTATACAAAGCTGTATTTCTTACAATGACTCACTGTGGGAAACTATTTGAAAAAGTGTTCGCCTTATGCATTATTCTAACCTCATAGTCCAATTGCTATGATTCACATGGTAAATGGCTTTCATATTTAAGGAAGTCTAATAATATCCATGTATCTCTAATATGTAAGCCTAGAATCATTTATATTTTCTAACTTATACATGTCATTTTCATTTGTGATATGGGCTTATTAATTGTATTACCAAAATTTAATTTTATATGGCTGCTTTATTCATTATTTTGCCTTTCAATTAAACCCTTGCCTGAAAGGTCTTAAATTATTTTTTAAATTTTTTTTTGAGATTGTATAATCCCTAAAATAGGCAATAAATAGTAGATTGATATTATCTATATGTCAGGTAAGGAATGCAGACATACAAAATTTGATTTATGAGTATACATGTATATTCCTAGGACCTTCTATCTGTTTGCCTTTAAGGAAAAGAATCATGAGGTAAATCGTTATAATGCCCAAATTGAAATGCTATTTGTCTTCTTTATTAGATGATCAGACCAGGATAGTTAAGAGTTGAACACAAGCATCTGATCAAAGCTTCAAGCCATTATTGTAATGCATAGCTTTACTTTCTCTAGTTCAATATGAATATTCATATTAAAGCCAATATTAGAGAAATGTTCATAACATCATAATTACTGGAATAAATAAGAAAGGATCTTGTAGAGACAGCAGAGGGGATACAGAAAAAAACTTCCTTGTCAAAATATTATGGAATGTTTACTTAAATCTGACAATATTACAATTTTAAAGCAGCAGAAGACAGAGCACTTGCAAAGTAAATAATGAAGATATGTAACGCAGCACAGTTTGATAGTACAGACAGGAGAAAAGCAAAAACATTAAGAGCCACTTTCTCCAATATCATTTTTCTCAGATGTGTGCACTATAACCAGAGGTGGTATTCAGCTGGTTTGGACCAGTTCTGTCGTATCAGTAGTGGAAATTTTGAGTAGTTTGGAGAACCAGCAAATGCCACCTCTGGTTGGCCTCGCCCTCGCTCTCCCACTGTTCCCTGTCCTATATTTCTTTGTTTTTTAGCTCAGCTGATTCGTGCAGCAGAGCAGGTTGCCATGCCTCAGCTGAGATAAAAAGCAGCTCAGCTCACCAGCACTGACACAGTGGCTGGTCTTTGAATGCTGCACGCCTGCAGGAACCACACGTTAGATGCACGCGCGTGCAAAGCAAGTGTGCACACGCAAAATGCTCTCTCGTAGAACAGGTAGGAAAAGATTTGGACTCCCCCACTGACTATAACCCACATGCTATCTGGAAATAATGGCAGCTCTAGTTTCAATACATTTGGAAGGCAGGAAATTGTGGAAGGCAGTAGTAAGGATGGTTCTATCAGGCCACTAGTTAAGATTAATTCTTCTAAATGGCAGAAGAATCAAGTATATAAATAGCAAAATAGCATAACCCCAATATGCATAATGAATAACTTTATATCATAAGAATAACAACAAACAAACCTCATTGGCCTTCTCAGGGGTCCCTTTTGGCGTCTCATCTTCATGTTTGGGTGAAGAAGAAGCAGGCGAAGAAGGCAGCCTTCTATCCCGATCTCTGTGCACGAGCTTGCTATTGGGTTCCTTCAGGGTCCGTTTCAACTCATTAATGCTGGCCTGGTGCTTTAGCAAAACATCTTCCGGTTTGTCTAAAAACTTTTGGATGGAGAGGGGAAGGTAACTACTACGGTGAGGGTTAGAGAAAGGAGCATGAGTGGAGTGAGATGATTGTCAGATGGGAGCTTCAGAGTGTTTAGAATTGGAGGCTTCATTGCCTAGAAAGTGAAGTTCCCGCATAATAGACAATGTAAATCATTCAGCCAATTTCAGGACTAGGCATCCAAATGGGTTTCAGTTCCCATCCTCCCTTGGCCAAGGAGAGATGGAGTTCACTAAGGTTATTATCTAATCGATTGGGAAGTAAGAAGATTGGAGAAGACTGGCTTAGAAAGATCAAACTATTGAAATAGAATCTTATCCTTTTGATTGTTCAGGATCAAAAAGCTGCCTCTTAAGAGTTACAGAGGCTTCCATTATTCTTTCTTATCTAAAGACATAAGATTCTAGAGTACCTGTGAAGTCAGGATTCCATAATTCCAGAACTAGCAACTCATGGACCAGGAAACAAACAGTGGGAAATGTGTTCTTAGGCAGTGTTCACTGTCTCCTATAGTAGTTTGTACATAGCTTTCTGAAGGAATAAATTAATATTTAAATTGGGCCAAAGTAAACTGCAAAACAGGAAAAAGAGTTCCAAACATAGTATACATGTTTGCTGAGTATAAACTTGGGTTTCAGGATCAGCACTAAAAAAAACCTAATCCATTTCATATGTTTTTACTATGGCTAAGTGAAGCTTCACTTTCTTGGACAGTGTAAGCTAATTAAAAAAGAGGAAATATTCATATAATAATTCCCATCCATTATGTCTAATTCCCCTCATTCTAGAGGTGGCATTCAGCAGGTTCTGACCAGTTCTAGAGAACCGGTAGTGGAAATTTTGAGTAGTTCGGAGAACCAATAAATACCACCTCTGACTGACCCTGCCCCCATCTATTCTCTGCCTCCCGAGTCCCAGCTGATTGGGAGGAAATGGGGATTTTGCAGTAACCTTCCCCCTAGTGGGGAGGGAATGGAGATTTTACAATATCCTTCCCCTGCCACGCCCACCAAGCCATGTCACACCCACCAAGCTACACCCACAGAACCGGTAGTAAAAAAAATTGAATCCCACCACTGCTCTAGACCAAGAGAGAGGGGAACTTCACAAGAGACAAGAAACAAGGAATGCACATCTCTGAAGCAGTTTGTCAATTGCCCCTTCACATAAAGCTAATGATGTAAATAAAGACTGTACAGGGTTGCAATAAAACATGCAGAATTATTGGATGATGAGAAAATATGGAGGGAATAGCCAGCACTGAACTTCAGGCGCTTGGAGAATATTTATATGTCAGAAGTCTATGAAACAGCCAGACTAATAATGAGAAATAGACATCTAGCATAGTAAACTCAGTTTGTAAATAAGCTTCTTTATTCTGATTGTAGCTTGAATTTTGTTATTACTCAAATTTGCTAAAATGAAAATAAAAACTCTTATATGTAATTCAATGGAATTTAAACTAATTGCCAATTTTGCTATAAAAACAAATAAAAATTTCCCAAGCTTTGATCTACTTGGTGGGATCCATCTTCAGGTCATTAACTTTGTAGAACATTATAAACATCCACATTGCTACATGGAAGATATTATGACCGGTTTTGGGGAGTGCTCCATTTTTCAAATAATCTAACAATTACATTCATAGCCTCATAAGACTGATCATTAAAAAGAGGAAGTGAACAATAAAAGCAACTTTTTGATGTTGCTTTGTATATCTTGGCACTTTAGGCAATGATTAAATCTAAATCCCATTTTTAGTTTTGGCTTAAAGCTTTTAACATTCTGACCTGCAATTCACTTATGTAAATTTGTGTCAAGGCTATGTCTGCATCTTCAGAAAGTATCTCCTTCCTGAAAATATCAGGGTTGGGAATAAGGTGTGGGGGGGGGGGGAACAGGGATAAATGAATGCCATGAAAGAGCAAAAGAATCAGTTGGATGACAAAATAGTTATGATTTTCTAGCAAGCAAGTAGCTGAAGAACTCTAGCTTCTTGCTCACATGACAAAATGAATGGAAAATGCTGACTTAATGGGGTACAAGATGCAGCTTGTGTATCAAGGGGAAGATCCCCTTCATTTCCACCTTGATCTGCATCTTGCATCCTGTTAGAAAGGGCCACATGTGTATGTTGGCATTTCTTAAAAGATGAAAACTAGGAGTGCATTGATGAAAAACTAAAACATTCCAGAAAATACCTCCTGTTTGTGCCTTGGGGTGGTTTCTTGATCCGGCTGGTAGCAAAAAGAGGTGGGAGGGAGGGTAAATCAGTTAAGGGAACTCCTGTAATAGGCTACAATGTTGCCACAATTTTAATTCAGGTATCAAGAAAATGATAAATCTTTGATGCCACACACTTTCTATAAGAGGTTGTCACCATTTTTCTAGATGCAGGAAATCACTGTATGAATTGTATAGCATTGTATTAATCTATGTAGGTCTCATACCCTGCTTGATTTGTAATATGCATTTTGAATGAAATCTGCCAGCACACATACAAAAGAAGTCAGTTCTCCGTAAATGTTTTACAGAAGAGGAAGGACAGGACTTTGGCTGCTCAAGAAGACACATCTGCAAAGATTCAGCAGACATGGGCTCAATGGTGGGATTCAGCCGGTTCGGGTAAACCAGTTGTTAAATTGCTGGCTGGCCCTGCCCCTTCCTGCCCTGCCCCTTCCAGGAGTCCCCATGCATCCCGTTTTTGCTCTCAGGAGACTGCAGGGAGGCCTACTAAGCCCAAAATGAGGTATGGGGGGGACACTCCCCCATAGCCCGTTTTTGCTCCTGGGTGTGTGTGTGCAGGAGGCAGAGTACTCCCTGTGACAGCCCCTGGCCATGCCCATCCAGCTGGTCATTAAGGCAGAGAACTGGTTGTTATGTTATTTGAATCCCACCATTGCATGGACTGTATTCTTCACATATCTGTAGATTCTGTTTATTTATCCCTGACATTGTCAAAAGACAAGGTTTAGGTATTGAAGCAATAGGACACTAGAAGAATCCTACTTGACAGAAACGACAATACTGCCTTTCCCAGAAAGGCTCTTTGGAAGACACATTTGGAAGACAAACTTGTCAAGTCACTGTTTCTTAATCGAAAAAGCCTCCATGATCACCACAGTATCTGCAATGGAGCAGTGCATTGTCCTTGCTTATCCTTCTGCCTACAGTGAGGAAAATCAGCAAAATTCAGCTTTAAAAGCCCAAATTGGATTCACATATTTGATAATGGGGAGACTATGCTTCTAACCACTGAGCCCTGGTGGCACAGTGGTTAGAATTACAGGCTAACTCTGCCCAGAGTCAGGAGTTCAATCCTAATGGGGCTCGAGGTCGACCCAGCCTTCCATTCTTCCAAGATGGGTAAAATGAGGACCCAGATTGTTGGGGGCAATATGGGGACTCTGTAAACTGCTCAGAAAATTCTGTAAAGAACAAGAGAGCAGTATATGAGTCTAAGTGCTATTGCTATTGCTATGCTTCTAAAACTGTTATTGACACACTGGGTAAATGTTTCCTGTGTCATATCATGGAATAAAAGACCAGTTTTCAGATTTCAGGATGATTGATTTCCCCAAAGAACAAGACTCCAAAGATAGCAGCAGTTTAACAATGGAAGTTACAGTTTGTCTTTGGAAATTCATACTGGAGGCTGAACAACTAGTACATGATAACTGCTAGCGGGAACTTACTTGTTATGAGACTAAGAAGTATTCTAATAGAATATAGTATAGATAGAAAATATTAATAATATTATCATTGCTCGCCACAATGTTTTTGGTACTTCCTAGAAGAAAGCTAAGATGTTTACATATCAAGTGTAGAATCCAGCCTCCAAATGCAGATCAAGTATAGCATAGGTTTTATACCAGGGATGAAATTCAGCAGGTTCTGACAGGTTCTAGAGAACCGGTGGCAGAAATTTTGAGTAATTTGAAGAACCGGCAAATATTGTCTCTGGCTGCCCAAATCTATTGTCTGCCTCCTGAGTACCAACTGATCTGGAGGAAATGGAGATTTTGCAGTATCCTTCCCCTGCCACGCCCACAAAGCCATGCCCACGTAACCAGTAGTAAAAAAAAATTGAATTTCACCATTGTTTTGTACCTTTAACTCCTTGATTTTTGTTGGAGTAGTCACCTCTTCATCTTCAGATCTCGTCCTTCCCCTATACCTATCATCTTCTCTCTTGTCTGACTCTGTTCCATCGTGATTCTCACTCACTGAAGCTGGGCGGGAGAATTCTGCATAGGAGAGACGGAAAGAAAGAGAGAGGAAGAGCAGCCCTATTTTGTCCCATTGACTTTAGCTGAATAAAGATGTTATTTCCAATGCTTTTAAATGCTCCTAAGACTAAAGATCCTGTGTTCAAGAATTCAAAAGCTCTTTTTGGGACATGCCTTAGAGGTACATAACATGCAGTGCCATAAAACCAGCTTCTAAAAGTCAAATTTTAGTTTGATTCTTGTTCTGTATTCCTTAGATTCCTTAGAAGTGAATTCCTTGATAATCCTAAAATGTTTCTATTTATCTACTTGTTACACAGCATTTTGTATAACAATTGATTTGCACATTATTTAAATCAACCAAATGGGAGTGCTTTACATATGGTGGATAGAAGCAAGAAGTATGGCTTACTTCCTATATTTCAGACATACAAAACATCTATATCCCTTGAATTTTATGAATATTGCTGTCCTCTATACAAGTTGTTCTAGACTTAAACCAAAATTGGGACCAGAATTTCAATTGCTAATGATACAGTCATTTAGTGAGTCATTATGTAACCAGACCCAATTTCATAACCATTTTACTGTAGTCACTAATCAGATAACATGGTTAAGTGAATTACATGGTCTTTAAGTGAAGCTGGCTTTCACAATTGATTTTGCTTGTTGAATGCTAGCTGTGAATATCGTAAATTGGGATCATGTGACTAAAAAATGCTGCAATTATAACAAATGCAAGCTGGTTGTACCCAAATTGCAATCATAAGGCTGCAAGGGTAGTGCAACAACCATAATTTTGAAGACTGGTTGCATGTCATTTTTCCTGTTGCAACTTTGAAGTGTCATTAAATGAACAGTTGTAAATTGAGGAATTAAGAGTGTTTTGCAAAAGATGATTCCATTTATCATGAATCAGACTCGCTATTTCACACTAGTAATACTGTTTCAGATGCAATAACAAATGCTCACAATAAACGCTCTTTTTTAGCCTTTAAATTGAAATACACCCATAGTTAAGTCTTTAAAACTTCTGAGGATATTGGCATCTCAACAGAAATCTGAATTCCATCTGTGGTTGATTTCTCAGTGTAAGAGAGCAATATGCAGGAGAAGATCCAATTGCTAAGAGGAGGAAACTGGTGATTCTAAAGAAAGAGCTTTCAACAAGGGCTCCTTACATCTCTTTTTCATGCCTTGATAGCCCAAAAGAGATGGTGCCCCATGATGCCCATTTTAATATTGCCTACCAAGGATGATGAGGTCACTTGCATGAAGCATGGAATACACCGTTGTTACTCTACCATGGCTATACAAAAGGATAGAGGGAATGAGGCCATTTGTGGAACAGCGTCAATCTTCTCTCTGCTTTCACATTTGTTGATCTTCAAAGAAAAGAACCTGGAGTTGCTTTAGAGAATGTAATTTACAGACAGGAAACATCTTCCACTTACTTATAGAAAGTGAAGCTTTCTCTGTCCAGAAAATTGTGAATAGAATTGTATCGGTCTGGAGAAGGAGAGGGGAATGCCTTTTAGCTTCTCTCTCGAGTGCTCTTTATTGAAAGAGTTGTGAACTTCAACATCGACTACATAATGAAAAAACTATGCTGATGAGAAGTTGTATGGAAAACTGTATCTTGTAGCTGCTGTGTATCATCTCTTGCAATTGATGTCTAATCACTGTTGGCGGGCTGGTTGCCCAAAAGAGAACCCATCCATTAATCAATATCTGCATTCTTTTTCTAGCTAGAATCAAAGAGAGTGCATATGTCTAAGTGACCTAACCGTATTGGGGGTATGGAGCAAAAATCCCAAAGGAACATATTTCTAAAGCCTGGAAACTATTTGTTAACTTTCAATTGCCTCCTTGTACTGGCAAAAGAGAGCAGGTCTCAATCAGAGAATTAATTATGGATAAGCCACAGCTTGACACTGCGTTCATCTCTACAAGAAAAGCAACACCCTAGAATTGCTACCACATTTTCCTTTATGTAAAATGTAATTTACTATTGCCTCTTAGACTTATGTTAGAGTCAAGCAACCTATAAGTCCAGTCAATAATAAAATAAAACATCCACATCTGCTTATTCCAGGTCCTTGTGAAGGGCTCAATAGGTGGCCAAAATGCCAAATCCAGTCTGAACATCTGCGAGAATAATTCATGCATTCAGATTCATACAATCATTTGCTCTGCTTCACTAGCAATAATGTCAACAATATAAATTGAACTAAATAAATAAAACAATAGGGAATTGTTTGGCCACTTCCTTCTTCCCAAATACTTTTCTAGCATTCCAGTCTAGCTTACAGTCTTAGAATTTCTTACAAAAATTCCCATCCAAGTACCAAGCAGGTTCAATCTTCCTTGGCAAAAAATAAGCCAAAATCTACTAGCTAATGCCTTTTACAATCCATGCATGCTTTACTTATAGATCAACTGGAAGAATCCTTCTATAGCCCTCTGGAAAAAATGTTCAACATCTCACCAGCAAAAAGAAATAATAATGTGATACTCATCCCTCCACCCACCCACCCCCAAAACATGGTTCCATTCTTTGAACAAAGCCTTCCCATACCCACCAGGGAACCAATCTCCCTCCCCCTCCCCAATTTGGGGCATACCTCCATCGAGGCTGCGAGACATGGTGTACCGTTTGCTGGAGGAGCGTTCAAAGTAAGGGGCAGGACGATCAATCAAAGCGCTGGCTTGCCGAGTTTGAGCCTGTGTTCGCCCACTGTAGCGGAATTTGGAGCCCATTACTAGGAAACCTTTTGGAGGAGGCTCGGGTGACACCAGCCTGCAGAAAGAAAATTGTAATGGGTAAAGATCCCTAACTTTTGAAGTTGTAAAATAGGTTTGAAATTTTCAGAGTGTGCTATAGATGGTCTCACCAGATGATTCCCATGAGGAAGGGCTTGCCTGTGGACTCATGGCTACAAAAATGGAATGGAATGGAATAGAATTGAATATGGAAGGGACCTTAGAGGTCTTCTATTCCAGCCCCCTGTTCAAGCAGGCGAACCAATACCATTTCAGATAAGTGACTGTCTAGTCTCTTCTTAAAAATCTCCAGTTTCTATTCAATCACAAACACTCATTTTCCAGAAGACAAGCTGAGGCTCTGAAGGAATATGCAAAATATCTCCTATGTTTCCTTACTACTTCCTTCATGGAAGAAGGAAGCCCTTTACTTCCTAAAAAGAATTGATTGCAGTACTGCTTTCTTCTTTTCTGAGTGGGTTCACAGATTTCAACAGTAGTGCAAATCTAGTTACCTACTGTTTTGATTACCTAACAGATATTATAGGAAATAATGAAAGCACGGGACAACGGCAATTAACTTTGAAGCATGACAATATGCCATTTATATAAATCATAATTTTAAATAATCAAGATGGGGAAAAGGAAAGGCAGAGCAACAGATAGGATTGAGAGGTGCCATTGGTATACAGGTCTACGCACATTAGATTGGGAACTCATTAAGCCAATGCAAAGATCACCATTGCTATGTTCCATTTTGGAATGCTATTTTATTCAGCATTGGGTCAAATAATTGCAAGTGGTGTTTTTTCCCATACAAGTGCCATTAAATGAAATACATATATTGGAGCCAATCCTCCTAAAATAATTCAATATTCTCAATGACATAAATAAGTTCTATCATAATAGTGATTTTTAGGGACCACATTTTTAATGTAGCATTTGGAGTTTCCAATTAATTTTTGAAGCCACAATTTTAATGTATCTCTCATTCTGCCTTGCAAAGATTTGAGCCGCCTTTAAACAGACTGAGATGATAGGCATCTACTTTGTGTTCCAAAATGCAGGAAAGAGAAACATTGCTTTTAAATGTTCCAGGAACTTGGGGCAAAAAAGCTGCAAAGTTTTCCTATGGGTTGGTTTTATGAGTCTTCCAATTCCGATCATGATTATTGCAGTCTAATTTGATGCAGTCTAAAATTCTACTTCTTTGGTCATCTATTAATTTCTCTACAAAGTCTAAAAAGCTCTTATGCCTCAAGGCAATATAGCTACACAATGTCAGCTTCCTGGATCACCATGATTCATTTTAAAAGCCTGTGTCTTCTTATCTCACTGATCGAATGGGCTTTCCACTCTTTAGAGCAGCTTATAACTTTTGTATCTATAAGGAAAGTTATATGTAACAGACCCTCTTCTTTCAATTTCGCTGATAATATATGGCCAAATGGTATGCGACATTGAAAATTCTTACTATCCCATTAAGATACAAAATAGCAGGAAAGTTTATTTCAGACTAAATAATTTTTCTGTTTCAGAATCAGAAGCCTATCAAGAGGATAGTAATAAAGACTATTTGAAAAAAAAGAAAAATAAATTGCTGGAGTAGCAGTTGCTCAGTAAAGCAGACTCTATACCTAAAGACTAAACTTTTAAGCGAGGAGTTATCTAGCTTTTCCTTTTTTCTTCTTTTCATAATAATTTTATTAAAATTGACAATAGAAAGGTAAAAGATTGATACAAACTAAGAAAAATATAAAAAATAAAGAAAGAGCAGAGATAGAAAAAGCAAAAAGAATACATATATAAGACAATTCCCCACTTCCTCCAAACAAGCCTTCAAATACAGCCTTTTTATAAACATTACTAAGAAATAAAGCAAAAGAAATATATCCCCATATATAAACAGAATCCTGGCCAAGTTTTTTTTTTTTTTGCATTTATAGCTACCAGGAACCACAACACATATATTTTAATCCTGGTCAAATAAGTTCACTTTATATTCTTTTTGTTTACTTTTTAAAGGTTGGTCTTTAATCCCATCAAATAAAGTTCTGCAAGTTGATTTCCTATCATTTTCTCTTCGTTTTCTTTCCTTTCCAGCTTCAGCAATTTAGCGTCTTTGTAAATCCAAAATAAGAAAAGCTTTTCAAATCATTCTTCTGATTTATTATTTGTATGTCCCCTTTAGTTATTAATACAATGACTATTTCAAATGTATATTTATCATGGTATCCTTTTCCATACCACTCTTGTAATCTGGAACTTTTATACCCATTTTCATACCCATGTTTGAAATTAGTCTGTTTTACCTAGCAAAATCTGTTCCTCTTTTATAGCCTCTGTTATATCCATTTTTATAACATCAAACAATATTGCAAGTAAATTGTGAGTAGATTGTTCCCAAGCAGCCTTAATTTCTTCCATAGTCAAATAATATTGCTTTACTGAATTTAATGGGCATCTTCTCTTTTAATTGTGATCTTTAGTTCTTTCTGGTTCCCTCAAGTCAATCTTCAAAGTGCCCTATCATATGTTTATTTTCCAATCAACAAAACTTTCTCACAGGAGAATTTCTTACAATTGATTTTAAAATCTTATCATATTCTTTTATAAAATGTTAAACATATCATAGGACAGTGTTTTTCAACCACTGTGCCGTGGCACACTAGTGTGCCGTGACATAGTGTAAGGTGTGCCATGGGAAAATTACTTTATATATAGTCAATATAGGCACAGAGTTAATTTTTTTAAATATTTTCTAATGGTGGTGTGCCTCGTGATTTTTTTCATGAAAAAAGTGTGCCTTTGCACAAAAAAGGTTGAAAAACACTGTCATAGGAAATATTCCTTCAAATCCATTTAGTCCTTTAACTTGCCAAAATCAACATTCTCATCCCTTTTTGCTGTTGTTCAAAAGTTAGTTTTTCTTTTTAATCCTTAAAGCTACATAAAATTTCCTTCATCTAGAGTAGAAGGAAACTCTCCTGGCACTATGAACATTTTTCTCACAGGTTCTTAAGAATCAGAAAATCATTAGTAATCAACTTTCTAGAGTATTCCTAGAGCAGTTCTGCCCCCTAGAGGGCAGAACAAGAAGCAATGGGTAGAAACTAATCAAAGAGAGAAGCAACTTAGAACTGAGGAGAAATTTCCTGACAGCTAGAGCAATTAATCAGTGGAACTTGCCTCCAGAAGTAGTGAATGCCCCAACACTGGAAGTCCTTAAGAAAATGTTGGATAGCCATTTGTCTGAAATGGTGTAGGGTTTCCTGCCTAGGCAGGGGGTTGGACTAGAAGACCTCCAAGGTCCCTTCCAACTCTGCTATTTTATTGTATTGTATTGTATTTAAGAGAGGAAGTAGAAGAATAGTGTCCATTTGAAGGTGCAAAACCACAACTAAAGCGGGGTGATTTCTCCCCCCCCCCCAAGCTCTCAAACCCTTTGGAGATCACAATTTTGCAATTTCTTTGCAGAGAGCCTCTGAATGGAGCAAAGATATAGATAATCTAGCACGCTCTATATTATAGAGATATATCTCTTGCTTTATTGTTACGTTGATGGATTCTTCTGTTTTCAAACTTTATCTTTTGCCAATTCATCAAATTGGTACAAAACATTTAGGGTTTTACATTTTAGTTGCAATTGTTGCGAGAGAAATTAAACCATTCAATTAGTAAACATAATTGTTGTCTAAGTTATACATTTGACCACCAGCATGCTAAACAACTCTATGAGCCACACAAGACAAATACAATATATGTAATCTTTCTAAAGTAGCAAACTGGACTTAGTTCAATAAAGGGTGCTTTGAAAACAAATAGTTTATATTCATTTCTCCCAAATGCTCTCTCCTTTTCTTTCCTAGAAAGGGATTTGGAACAAAGGTCACGTTTGCACATAGGTCTCATTTGAACCCATTGTACTGGTTGTGTATGCTGACATCTGCTGACCAAGCTCTTTGGGGGAAGATAATTTATATTTCTAAAAATATATCCACTGTTGTAGCCTGTACTAATATGAGAGCATCTGCTTTCAAACATCTGTTATTTTATCAACACAAATATGGAGTTTGTATAAAGCTGTGGAGGAAGTTTTAAAAATTAGATTCAAAATCTTAAAACTACTCTATACACCAAGCAGGAACATCACACCATGCAATAAAGATTATGTGCCATCAGATTGTTTTCAACTCCTAGTGATCTCATAGATGCCATTTAAAAAGTACAGAGTCTCCTTCAAAGATATATCCATGCAGGGTTTCCTTTTCCTTTTTAGCAAAAACTTAGAAATGGTTTATCATTAACTTCTTCTAGGATGTTTTTGCAACTTCCCAGTCTAGGCAACAGCCCTGCTATTCACTGAAGATCTTTCATCTTGTCTGATCTGATCCTGCTTAATTCCTGAACCAAGTTAATGCCAACCAGATGTTACCACCTGCTGAAACAGAATAACTGAGCTGAAAAGTAAAAGATGTAATTTTATAGGACAGACAGGGCTGTACATCTGTCAGATATAAATGAGTTGGATATAAAGAAGTTGAATATAAATGAGTTGGATGACTCTTATTGCTTTGCCACATTGCTCTTGAAATAACTAAGTTTAATTCTTGGCTAGGAGAACATTATCAAGTTCAAATCTAGTCCAATTACGCAGTCATTTGTTTGCAGCTCCCATAATGTCTCTATATGTTTGCTGCCAAATTATAACACTGATAAAATGGGGGGAAAAAATACTGAATATGTTGCAATGTGTCTGGTTGAAAATTTTCTTGGTGGGAATGTTTATCTGTGTAAAGGAGCTCAACGGAGCTTCCATGGGGATCTAATACAGGGATGTCCTAGAAAGGATCTGAAGTTCCACACTCACATTTCTCAATCTTATTTGTAACATTTCACTACAGACTCTCAAACTCTTTCTTAGTTTTCCTTTTTCTCACCTGAAAAAAGTGTGATGTTCAATGCAAACCTTCCAGAGTCTCTTAGCTGAGCGATGGTTGGGCAGCTTGAAACCAATGGTACTCTCAAACTGCTCATACTGTAAACACAGGGGAAGGGGGGGGAAAACGAAAATGAGAATCATCAGTCAACTACAAACTGTACCACCAGGAATATCATGAGGCTCTCTGTGCTTCTCCACATGCACACCTGTGTCCATGTGCTTTTTTCTTCTACCCAAAACGGGAAGAAAGCATGTCATTACCTAAATCATTTTCCCAAATGCAGTACGTTCACAACACCTTTTCAGAGAACTGGGCAAATTTGCTGTCAAAACAATAGCAATTGATTGCGGTAGAGGCTGCAGAACCCAGCAAACAGTGGAATCAAGGAGAGTGACAACAGCAAGCAAACAGGATGCAGAGAAAAAGTAAAATGATCAATAAAGTTGTCTAGTTCTCCCAGTGGTAGACAAATAAAATAAAGACAGAGCTCTTGAGGACTTCACAACTCTTCTCAGGTCCTTATTTTCCTTTGAGTAGAAGAAACAAGCCTGTCACAAATTTAATGGCCCAACACTGTAAAAAAGTGGCTTCATGAATGAAAGGTGGCTTCCTTTAAGTCCCCAAAGGACAGCAGGCTGATCAGTTTGTCTTTCGGTTTAGGATTCTTCTTCTTCCCTACAATTCTTTTAGGTTCTTTTGCTTCCTAGGGAATGGAGTCTTGTACATGACAAGGTTTATAAATAATCATATAACGGACCTAATTTCTTGCAAACTACTGACAAGTATTTCTCCAATGGGAATATCAATCTCAAGGAAGATCCACTGGCTATTCCCACCAGTCCAAAAGCCATTATTTGCTAGGCATTCAATCTTCCTGGCAGTCACCATGGAAATAGTTGTGGAGGCAGAGAGAAAGCCCAGCAACTGAATGAGAAGAGCAGTTCAATTGCAGGCCAATCAGAGCCTGGAGATAGGTGCTGCTTCCAGATGAACCAGAATGTTTGCTGGAGAAGGGACAGGAAGGTTTCACTGTGTTTTCCGGTAGAAATTCTCGTTTCCTTATGCTCACCGTAATCAGGCTTTAGCTCGCACTAGTAGCAGACTGTTACTGAGATAGAGGCTCCCTTGGAAGGATTTACTCTCTAAAAAAGTGAGCATCTCAGCACCAGGATAATGTGTAGATCAGCTCACTGAAGTACAGACATCATGATGTAGTTCTAATCTACATATGATCACTTGTTACTACTTTTTTTGAGGTTAATTGCTCCTGCCCGATATAAAGTAAATCACAAAAACTGGAGTGCTGGGCATTATTCCATTATGCCAAACACAACTGACACAAGAACCTTTTCTTCATAAATGAAAATCTTCATAATGAATTCAAAAGGAAGGGAAGGAAGCGCTCCTCAGCCTCTACCAGGAAAGTAGATATCACGAGAAGAAAAAGAATGTAGAGCAACTTTTATAGTATTTTTTTCCTCCTAAGTTTGGAATAAATTAAGAAAAAAGAAAATCTTTTATCCTGAGTTCCGTCCATATGCAGAAAGGCAACAGGTAGATTATATTTTCATTCTATTCTACACTTTAAAAAAGCAGAGGCATAAGCAGTGGCACCCAAAATGAATTATTTCCTATTAAGCCAATCTGAAATCTGCTGACACAGCTGATTAAAAAAATCATTCAGATGATCAACAGGATTTGTTTTTGATTTAATATAAAATACTAAACATGTCCTCTCCTTTATTGGCTCTCTTTTTAATTTTTTTTCTTCTTTGTGGAAATGCTTACCTCGCCAGGTCGAATTTTAATGTAGAAGTTACTTCTTTTGTATGAAATCTTGAGGATCTTGGGCCAGGCAAAACGGTTTATTCTCAGCCTGTCCCTATATATGAGAAGGCCATTGGCACAAACACCCAGCATGATGTCAATGCCTTCTGAATCCTGGGCAAAAGAGGAAAACATTAATACATAGACATCTTCCAGTACAAAGCATTTTTAAACAGGCAAGAAACCAAGGTTAATACATCTAAGGGGCAAAGACAAATCAGCACATTTCCCACTTAAATACCAAGCGGGCCACTGTTTACCTCCCACCTAAGGTAGGATTATCATATATTAAAAACTAGAGGAAAAAAATACTAGCTGGTCCTTAAAAAGTTTGAGAGCTATGGATTTTACGAAGACCACCGGGAAAAAAGTATCAGGGATACCTTATCTTTTCTTGGAATGGGGCATTAAACTGATTGACATACAATTTTTTATCATTTCAAATGCTTGAAGCTTTATGTGGCTGCTTCTATTAATTTCCAGACATAGCTGCACAGTTCCACTAAGTACAATGCTCTACTAAAGCAGCTTTCCCACCATGGGTCTTTTTTCCAACTGTGTATAAATCTCTAAGTTTATAACCATCCATGGAGGAACAAGGAAAGGATATATAGGTTTTAGAACCTGGTCTTTTATTAATATTACAAAACAATTTTCTTGGGCTAGGAAAAATCAAGAGCTCATGGCACAAGTCCATCAACCGTTACAGCTCCTGACCTATAATACTGGAGGTATTTTGGCTTGTGTCTTGATCCTACAGATAGCATTCAATAGATTCTGGGCAAGGGCAATTAAAACTGTTGCAGAATGTTAACAGACGCACATTCACAATTGTGAATTTTCTCTTTTAGTAGCTTCTCCATTTCTTATAACATGAAGAGTGTTTGTTAGATAACATTTTGATGAACTTTTTGTGCTTCAACTCTTCTGCTACTTTGTAGTTTAACTCCATTAAAAAATAAAAAGTCATCCAACAATCATTGTGCTAAAATAACAGTGTGGAGGACAGGCTTTATATTATTTCAATAATTATATGTGCTGTCGGTCACTAATGGGAAATGGCTTCAAAATTAACTTCTTGGTTGCGGAGCAAAAAATAAGGGAACAATGCGATAACTAATACAGAAAGAAAAAAATCTAAGGAACTTGAGAGGACAGGAAGTATAAAATATGCAAAAAATAAATGAGATTCCATAATGGGGCTTTTTCAAATAAAGTATATGTTTCTAGGTTTCTCTTTAAATCTTGCGTAATTTCCCTCCCCCTTTTTTCAGTCCATTCTTACTGAAAATATTCCACAGCATGGTTGCAAAATACCACAACCTTTTAAAAACTCAATTGAATTTAAATTTCATTTTCTAAATGTTTGTCCCTAGATATCAACATAGCTATCCCTATGATAGCAACCATACAATTTAATTATAAATGAACCAATGTCTTCTACAGAATTTGTCAGAAGACAAAATAACATTTTATGCTTAAACACAATATCTGAAATGAAAGAACGTATAGGTATAAGTGGATGCTACATAGGTTAAGCAAGTTTTTAAAAGGAGTGAATATTGCCTCAGAATAATCCAGGTTTTTTTTTTCACTTTGTATGCCTTCAAAACTCCAACTTTTCACTAAGAATACCTTAGCATGATGCAAGTCAACTCCATACATTGAAAGTTTCTTGGCATTCTCCAGGAAGTGAATCTCTGCCTCGCCAGGTGTCATGCCCCTTTAGAAGAAAAATAAGACAGAAACCGAAGCAATTAAAAAAAAAAGAAAATTATACAGAGTTTGATGAGCAAAAGGCCAACATGTGTTTAAAAGACTTTTTAATGACAAATATAGGAAAATATAGGTTATGCAAATCTTTCCAAACTTATTTGCTCTTGATATAAGCAGTAGTAGGGGAAAAAAACTTTATTCACCGGTAAGTCTTATGTAGCTCCATAATACGCTCTTCCAATTCTCTGGTCTGATTTGGAGCAAAACGTAGTTCACCAACATAATTGCCAACATGTTCTTCAGTATCATAATCCCCCAGTTCAGCTTGTACAGCATAGGAACCTAACAGTGCGTGTGTTACAAAAGAACATGGTAGACGTCCGCTGATAATATCTGCTCGAAGTTGCAGGCACAAGTAATACCTAAGGAGAGGTAGAGGTCATAAAGTTGAAATGTCCATGTAAAAAACACAGGCAGCTAAGGGATGATCATGTTTCCAGACAAGCCTGTTTAACTAGTAATCCACCATTAATTACAGCATGTCCATTTTACACAAAAGTCGTCTGGGGAATCTGATAATCTCAGCAATCGGAATTTTGAATTTTAATAATTTAAACTTGGGAATCTGCTTGAAGTGAGAGGGATAGCCAACAAAGCTCACCAGAAAATTGATGAACATCCAGTTTTAATTAATCTCATGTGACTAAAAAAACTGTACCATTTAAGTAAGGCTACAATACTTGAGTGATGGATTATTAACCTTCAACAAGGAAATACACAGAATTAATGCTACAATGAAGGCTTTTTTGCAAAACAAGTTACCTTCATTTGGCAGTCAAATAGGAAACAGCACCAAGGTCTCTGATCCAAACTTTCCCTCCCCTTCAATGCCAAGAATGCAAATGATTATTAGGACAAGGGGCAGAGTGGCTCCTGTGGTTAGAAGGCTAGGCTCATGGTTGGCAGGCTCGTGCTAGAGACCCTGTTGCTGCCATGGGACAGGGTGAGTTCCCATCACTCACTCCAGCTCCTGCTGATCCAGCACGTTGAAAGCAGGGGACCACATAGATGGGTACCATTTAACAGGGACATGAATGGAGTCCCCAATGGGCATTCCCTGGGCAACAGTGATGTTACCGGTTTTCAACCCTTTCAACTTGAAGTGCTTCAGTGCTCCCAACATGACTGGAGAAATATTATTAAGACCAAGTTTTTGCTTCTAGAAGAATGTTCCTTCATTCCAATGACCAATATTAGCAGTAGGAACAACAGCCTGGGACATCGTCATGCTATTTAATTGCTCTGGAAATAGCTCTTAGAATAGTTCTGAGAGAATGAATAATGAGAGACAGGAATTTGTTTCTGAACACAAATTGACATGGCGTGTTGTGTATTTCCAGCCTTTGAGATTTCTTCCACACAGATAAAATAAACTATGACTTCATTAATGTATGAACTCAACTATTTTCCTTTTAAGAGAGTTGCATAAGAATTGGCCGAGAGAGATACATTTTTTCTTACCTTGTGATGTCCTCTGTGAGTTGGGCTGGATCTGGTGGATAAAATTTGACTGTGAAGGCAAAATTCCAGGGGCCACCTAAATAAGTGTGTGAGAGAGAGAGAGAAGGAAAGGGGAAAATATTAGGGCGATGTTTAGGTGATGCATCTTTGATTGACTCTCTCACACATGGTTTTTATTTCTTTTTTGAGTTACATCACATTTCCCTTTACTCTAAGTCTCTAAGGAAACTATACAGGACTTTAAAAAGACACACTCCTCAGAATTACTGGAGATCCTTGCTTCCCGGGATCTTAATGGCTGAGGCGAACAGCAGGTATGCTTGCCTTTTAAGGTTTGCAATAAGCAAAAGAGTCTTTGCTCTACAGAGAGACAGTGACTTTGGTGTTGCCATGGAAACAGGCTCAAATCCTCAAGAGAGCTGCTGTTGGGGAAAGACTTCCAGCAACAACTCTTCAAGACACCACATCACAAACCTATCCCATAGCCAGCTATTTTAGAAGAAAAAAAATCAGTAAGAGGTGTTTCACCACTCTTAAAATCTGAGAAACAAACCTGAGACCCTCTTGCTCACACATATCAGAGACATTATTTGCTTTAACTTTGTGAAGCAAAACTGTGCTTCAGAAAGTTTGTGTGACACAGTTGGGTCTCTTGGAGATTGGAGTTGGTAGAAAAGAAATCCTGCCAATAGATTAGACAGAACATCCTTCAGATCTTTTCTATCTCTAAAGGTTACACATGGAATTGTTAGGATACAGAGTGGTACCCATTGGAGATGGATGCAGCTTTCATTTCTGGTGAACTGGCAAAAGGAGATGGGGCTGACAAGAATTCTGTGCTTTTTAAAAATGAGATTGCTCTCAATCATCTGTGAAGAATTGATCTCTAAATGCAAAAACAGCAGGATTAGAAAATGAGAGTCAACGACTCAAAGCTTCTCTCCTCAGGCAAAGAAAATCTAGTTTTGTCACTTATGCCAAATCTACCTGCTAGAAAATCAGTAGTAAAAATTCATGTGAAATACCTACAGAGGCCCAGAAACATCTGATTCATTTCAATAGCCTATAGTAGTATATTTCAATAGCAAGTAAAATCATTGTAGTTTTCTACAGTCTAGAGCAGGGGTGTCAAACTCATGGCCCGCAGGCCAGATGTGTCACACACTGGCCACCCCCACCCCCAGTTTAGCGAAGGGGGCAGGAGTCGTGATACATCACATGATGACGACGAGGTGAGATCGTGAGTTTGTCATCCCTGGTCTAGAGAATTTCAAATGAATGTTAATAATAATTTACACAGTGATCTTATTATGCAATGTGCTTTATATTAAGTTCTTGACTAAATATTTTTGAATGATGGCTTCCAGATTGAGAAGTTCTAAATATCCATGCTTTGAACTACTCACCACAAATCTGTTTCTTTATTTCTTTAGAACAAATTACTTGTTTGTATGGACATAAACAAGGCAGCAAAAAGTAAGAGCTATGTGAATTGCATTGACTTCTTTCCAAAGCTTATATAGCAACAGATGCAAAACAACCCACCCCCCTTTGACTGATCATGCAGTGAAGAACAGTCATACTTTCAATGCCTTTGTTAGACTTTACAAAGCTGCACAGAACCAGAGAAAGTCTTATAAGGCCCACTATTTCCTTCCCAACTTTTAGTTAGTATATAAGATCTCTAGGAGCAGTTATGCTTATAAAACAATGTTTATTAAAGTGTTACATACACATGTACAAACATGAGCATTTTAAACTTTTAAATGGA